ACATCTGAATGCGTCAGAACGCCGTTCGTACAGTCTACTCAGCCTTTCAAAGCGCTCGAGGTCGGAGAAATGTGCCGGTATTTCCCCACGAGTGATAGCCTAACGCAAACCGCGCTGTCTCTCCCACGCGCGCGTGGCAAGTTTGCAAAACAGTTTTTATGACTTACCATACTCAAACAACCTCATCTTCTCTGGCTTGATATTCCGAGAATTCAGCGAAATATGGGCTCCGGGACTATCTCAGTGTCACAAAATTTCTCACTAAGGAATGGTAATTATTTGGTAATGAGTTATTAATTTATATATTAACTCATTTTTTGCGCTCGTGAACAGTTGATGTTTTGGTAATTATGCACACCATGGTGAGACCACAAATTATAAACAACTTAAATGCTAAAAAAAAACGTTGCGTTAGATACGTCAATGTCCGCCGCACCGAGGGTGTTGTATGCGGTTCCCAGCCGGTTTGGTTATGTCCCCGCTGCCGTAATCAAGGGAACTTGTAGCTCTTTCTGCACGTTCGACAACTTCTCTCGATCTCTGCGCATGCGAAGCACGAGGCTGCACGAGTCGTCATGTGCGCTGCCGCCTGCCTTCTGTGAAGTAAAACTATGGAGGCGTAGTGAGATCTGTCTACTGAGACGACTTGATTAACAGAGAAAGTGAGAGAAATTCGCAGACCACGCCCTGGAATGTGAACATGGATGGATGACGTGTGATTTATAAAGGCATTTATAGAAAGAAAAAAAAAAAGTAAATCTCGCTCGCGTCTTCTTGAACTCAAATTAGGACAATCACATCGTTCCAAAACCCCTATATTCATATTAAAGTGCAGGACCAACATAAATACACATACAAAATAAAACATATTTTTGAGCACCACATTTGAACACTTTTAAACACTTAGTTCTACCATCACTTGGTTCGTGCGCCCCAATACAGTTCCAAAAAACAGAAGAAAACTCCCGCTTAGACTGAATTAACGAAAAGCATAAATCGTAGTACGCAAATTGATGAGAAAAATTCTGAAATGCTTATTCATTACCGTAAAGTACGTGCTATATTCGCGCGATATTTTTTTTGCAATATATATTTTAAGTCGCGCAATGTAGATACTCGAAAAAATTATGTCGTTTACAATATCTAAACTCGTGAAAGTGAAAAATTCACCCGCACTCCGCCGTCATTATGATTGATCGTCATCACCATTATCATCTGCATTATGTGCTAGGGATGTACGAAAATTCGAATAATTCGCGAATAGTGTTTCCTATTTGATTCGATTCTCAACACACTTTTAAGTTACTCGAATTTTCGAAAACTACAAATAATGCCTTCCGTATTCCTCGATTTCTCGTGCCAAGCCTCACCGCTTTGTCCCGAGCGCACTCCAATCAAGCTTCACATCCTTCGCCTCGGAGCGCACGCGTCAGGCTTCACTGCTTTGTACCGGCGTGCTAGGAGAAACGGATGAAGCGGAGAGCGTTCGGAAATTCATTCGATGGGCTCACAAATTCGGTCTTCTTTGGTTACGATTGTAGTCATTACAGTTAATCATATTTTTAAAAGACAGTACTGGAAAAAGAATCTCAACTTATATTCGGATAGATAAAGTATTCATTGCTTTTTCTTACCACGTTACATTATGTTTTTACCCGGCTCGTCCTATCACCGACTTTTTCTTATTGAACACGAGTATGTGAAAATGTACTCATTGAATAAAACTGATCCTTTTCACACATGGGTGTGCCTCGAAAAATTCCAGATGACACTTTTAAAGCACCCGTGCTCAGTTCGAATTAAATGCGTAGTCAATTCTTAATACTCGTATTTGATTTGCGGTAAAATTGAACATTTCCGCACCTCTGTTATTGGCATCAAAAAGGCACGGCCCCCATTAACGCACTAGTGCGTACAATAAGTAACATGATGCGTCCCGAAAATCGCCGGGAAAAAGGTAGGACCCTCAGAGTGGCGAGCAATTTTTCCACGACTTTGTTGTAACTAGCAGTCTGTGCAAAGCAGGGCATGATGAACATCTTGTCATCGCTCCGCAGCCCATGATAATCTGACATCAATCGATAAAAACACCGAAGAACGAATCACGAGGCTTTCCTATACCGGGCGTTTCTGGGGAAAGAGAACCGTGTTGTTCGGTCCGCGCCAAATAAACTATGCATCGTAGAAAGGTCAAAAGCGTCATAATCTCACCTTTCAAAGAAAGGTGAGATTATGACGCTAGGGGTAGGGATATAACGCGAACGTTTTGAGAACGAGACGTTACTTGGATCGAAACATAACTGAGGAAAAACGATTTTTCTTTATGAGCGTATACGCTCACCAAGGCCTAATATTGTCAAAACAAGAGCTGGGATTGCGGACGCATGTGGCATTTTTATCGGTGAAAAACACCTGTCAGCAAGGAACAGAATACTGTTTTCTTTCTTTTTCACTAGCTTTCTTCGCTAAAATATTTTGTAAGGGCTCCCAGAATGTCAATTCATGTTTTGACTATTTTTAGGCTTAGGTGAACGTCGGCTCATCGAACTTCCACGTTCTACCCATCCACTAGCGTCACACTCTCCCGGAGTTTCAGATTTCCCCGGTCACGGTTCTTCTGCAGTACCGAACGACAGACTTCGAAATTTCGAATGGCATCAAAATTATCTTTCTGATTACTCTTAAAAGTAAATAAACAACACGAGGTTCTAAAGTATTAGGTTAGAACTTTATTCGTGAGTCGCAATGTATCTCAAGTCTGCCGATGACGCACGAAAACGAAGGCCGTAGCGTTTGCACGGCGTTGTAATAATAGTTACCGCCGTTCTGCATTCTATTTAGCCAATACGATTGCGACATTAGCTAATAAGAAGGCCAAAGAACGAATCGGGGGGCGTGAACATAATGGGACACGTCCTGCGTTTCTTCAAGGGATACTGCAACGAAATTTGAAATATACCCGTCGTGTTCTCTTGCCAATTTGAATCGGCGGCTGTTCCCTTTGAATCGGGCGGAAACTTCGCCACCTAGCCAAATGTGTTTCACCTTTTTTTTTTTTTTAAGACTTAATTATGTTTAAACTAATTTAATCCTCTTGCAGTCTCTTGAACTTAGCCACCAGTTACTGAGCTCTACTTAATCGAAAAGCTTTATAACGCTATCTCTCGATAGACGCAGCAAGTAGACGATGCACTCAGTCGAAAGCAGGCGACCTGCTCGTCTACACGCTGCGTTTACTCTCACTTGCGGCCGAACTCGCTGACAGAAGCAGACCACCAACACGTGGGGACGCCACAGTTCAGCCTTTTACAGGCGCGTAGTGCATCGCTTAGCACACCGCGGCGCACTAGTAGCCTATATATGCGGAGCGCAAATTGGTCCCCTGCTGGAAATGGGCGATGTGAAATGAGGCCAAAATTCACATTGAACCAATGTGCAACTGTAGGTCCAGACACATTGAGCAATATGCATTTATGAAACAAAAACCTATGTGCACCAACTGGTAATCCTTCAGGGAATTCACATTGGGCTGAATTGGTAATCCTTTAGGGAATTCACAATGGGCCGATTGCATTTATGAAACAAAAACCAATGAGCAGCAATTGGCAACAGGTACCCCAGTGCACATTGCATTGAGGGTATTTATGGGGCAAAAACCAATGAGCAGCAATTGGCAACAGGTGCTCCTGTGCACATTGGGTTGATGGTATTTATGGGGCAAAAACTAATGAGCGGCTATTGGCAACAGGCCCCCCTGTGCACATTGGATTGATGGTATTTATGGGGCGAAAACCAATAAGCGGCAATTGACGACAGGCACCCCTGTGCACATTGGTTTGATGGCGTTTAGGGGGCGAAAACCAATAAGCGGTAATTGACAACAGGTGCCCCGGTGCACATTGGTTTAATGGTACCCAGTCAACCAGCTACCGTCTATTAAACATCCGAGAGATGTGTTGTTCGGACATTTAACATATCCAGTGGATATCTGCTACGATTCATCCAACATTGAAAGTATATCTACTGTGCAGTGCAAAATGGTTCCCCAGAAAACGTACCACTAACGCAATCTGGTTGATGCAGCTGGACATTCAGGACCATTGTAGGATGTTCAGCCTGATCCTGTGGATGTACCATGTACATACCTCAGAAATATTACCTTTCCTGGTATAGGGACCAGCCCTATGCCAGGAGAGCAAGGAAGTGCCTAAGCAGCCTTCATTTTATGCTAGCATATAGCGTGTAGACTGTCCTACAGAAAAATTTAAACGGATAAGAGTCCAATTCTTTACAAAACAAGAGCTCAGAGGGCAGATTTGCTGTATGGCCCGTGCATGCTCTCAATGTATACCCAAATGGCGCATTACAGACGTATAATGTAGCAATCAGGCCCGCAGCAGACATTCTTTATACTGAAGTTTTTGTTTCACCATCAAGCTCAGAAGCTTTACCACAGGATCAATGCAGACGACACTGACAAGGAAGGCGACACTACTGATGCTGACTCGTTTTAGTGAGGTGGACCTCGCCACATGCGAGAGAACTGAAATACTGGACACAAACATTTTCATAAGCTATGACGAACGGCCCTGAGGAATTGACTACTGAAGTCTAAGGCTTCAGTAGTCATATGCTCTAGTGATGAGGACACCAGAATTCCATGAGAGCTGTAGCACCGACTGCATGGCAAAAGATGCCGCTGCAGTCTTGCAGCGTAACTTTGAACGTGAGTAGCGCACTAAATTCCTGCCCAGCCTGTCAGGCATGCACATCCGTTCTGTAGAAAAAGTTGCAGTGCCAAACAAATCGCCATTAACTCTTTATTGTTACTGTTAGACAGACGAGCAAAGCTTGATGCTTTTAAAATAAAGTATAATTTTTGAACAATGCTGCATAGACAGCATGAGGTTTTCAAAATAAAGTATACTTACTGAACAATGCAGGATACTTTGCTTAAAAAAAATGTCTGATAAACATAATAAAAAGCTCAGCGCATTCAAGGCCCACTTAAGGCAGTTCACATCTCTCTCTCCTGTGGTGCAGAATGTTCCTGAAAAGCAACGAAAAAATGTTACGTTAAAGATATGTGAGCAGTGGTTTACCATTCTTTGAAACAAAACTAATAAAACAGTGAATTTCAAAGTGAAGTGACTCAAATATGCAAGAATTGGAACTGATGTAAATAAATCACAAGTATTTTATGCCTTGTTTTTAAAGCACATTCATGCTGGATGTGTGTACTGTATTGCCAACTTTTGTTTGTTAGATTTACATCAAATGTCAGTGTTCTTAAAATTCGTTGTCTATGCATTCTTTTTAATCCATAATAAGGTACTATTACATAATGAAATTTTTCCTCTTAGAGAAACACTCCAAACAAAATTTTTTTTATTTAAAATTATTCAATACTGTTCACACCTGTAGTATTTGCTCTCAAATTAAACCAAAAAAGGTGGCACTGGCTTTAATATTTAAAGCATTCAAATACTCTCATATAGAAATTATGCTTTGAAGAAATTGCACACCATACTTACTGTTCTAGAAAAGTTTGATTTTTGTGCTAACATCAGCTTAATAAGACCAGCTTACCATTTGAGATGACTGATGTCAGGCAGGTGCGTGGCGAAGTTAATCCGTGACCATGGTTTCTACCTTGAAGTCTTCACATTTATGGCAGCTCTGCACTGCATCTGATAAAAGAAAGCGACAGAGGTATGACACCAACAATTCCATAAATCTGGTTCCATGTGAAGCGATCTGCAATACTGTTCCAGAGATTACTTACTTATGATGCACTCAGCAAGGTGAAGGTTCCTGAATGTCAACTTTCTCTTACGTCCTTCCCACAAAAATTTTCGCCCCAACTGGTCAGTCAGCAACCGCTTCGTGATCTGTCTCGTACAGGAAGCATAACCAGATCCGCAGACTTTGCTGAGCTGTCAAACATAAAAAAACATCCACATAGCAACCGCTTAGGGCAATCATAACTATTGATTGGATGTTTCTGTTTATTTTTAGTCAACCTTGGCAGGTGTTTATCGGCATCCATTTCTTCGTTAAATGTGCTGCAAAAATATTCCAAAAGCCGGGAATCATACTGATAAAAAAAACTGCACCGACTTTACTCAACAAGATTAACAATTTAATCAAATGTTTCGTCTCCCATGTGGGAAACATCGTCGGTGAAACCTTGAAGCAGGAATGAGCGAAAGAAACTTCAACAGTCCTATTTAAGCAAGTCCGCATACACACTGAGGAGGGGGCCGCAGCTGGAGTTACAAGCTGATGAGTCATTTCGGATGAACCATGATTCTACGAACCTGCTTGGACCCCACCTTTGTTCACGCGCCAGAGTGGACGCATTCTCAAAGTCGAAACTGTGTCCCGTATTCCAACAATGGTCTATGAGTTTCATTGGTATACCAATGAAACCAGAAGCGGTCACAGTACTAAGCCAGTTAGTGAAGACACAAGTGATAAAATTGTGAAAGTGACGGGAGATTTGAAGACCAATTTCCTGTCCAAGTTTCTGAAAAGGCTACTGCCAAAGACGAATGTAACGAGTCTGACGTACCCTGTTTCGGCTGGCCTTCATTTTAATTGGACGCAAAATGAAGGGCTTTTGAATCTCGAAAACTTCATTGCTGGAGTGTACACTCTTCCCGGCATCAAGGAAAACTACAACATTGGGAAGCCAGAAGCCAAACTAAAGGCCCAAACTGCCAACAAGCGCGTAAAATGCCTTTCAAAAAGGAACTTCCTTGCTTAACTACAAAGTGGAAAGCGCTGCCTGACACTTACTGTGCGTGAAACAAGGTGCAATCATAATTTCGGGAAGGTCATCCTTATTTTGTGTGTGTGTGTGTGTGCGCGCATTTTATGTGCTTTTTTTTAATGACTTCTATGGTGTTAATAATTATTGGATGTTATTCGGCACTACCGGCTTCTCTTTTCTGTTAATAAAAAGCATGCCCACGATAGAATGTGCACGTGATCTGCCGCCCCAGAACGAGCGCGTAGCCTCTGCTAGGGCTCAAACAGGATACGTTCACATGGCAAAATGGAAGCCTGAAGTATCGCATTTTTTCGCCAACTCCGCCAAAGTTTTAAAGTCCCGACGTCGGAAGTCGGAGAGCTTTGGACCAATCGTGAAAGATGATAATAGGATTTTTGAGTCAGTGTTATTCTGTTTTTGACTTGGTTTTACTCTGATTTGCTCGGTTCTGGAGCGAAATTTATACAAAAACGAGAACGTTCCACTCCGAAACCAGATAAAACTGAATAAAACGGAGCAAAGCCTAATGTGAATACATAATCCAGTTGGTTCAATCGTTTATGCTATTGCTGTTACTGAAACATCCTGGAAAACAAAAGGACAGAATACACCGCTAAAACTGCAGAGTTGCGATGATACCTGAATTTCGTGGCTTGCCTATATATAATTATTCAAGAATCTTGTGCATACTATGTGCACACACAATGTTCCCGTTCCCCATAGTCTTTTCTTTATGTTTTACTGGCAGCCGCATGTTTTATAATACGAAGGAGGACAGTACGTAATCAGGAAATTCTAAAACACGTGACAAAAAAAGAGTTCATATTCACTTTATTAACTGAATGTTTTATTTAATTAGTGTCTACATGGCCCAACCCAAGTTATATAGCTAAAAAAAAATGTTTATTTGACAGAGAGGAACCCATCGGGCACGCACGTATCTGCACAAGGGGGGGGGGGGGGGGGGGGGGAGGAACCATGGGACCCCCCCCCCCCCCCCTCCTCTCAAACCTTTCATTTGGTGGGGCCCCCTTCCCCCCTCCCCCTCATACAGTATTTTGTCATGGGCGAATCAAAATCCTGGCTGCGTGCCTGCCATCGGGTATATTTGCGGCAAAAATTATTTTCCTGTGCTCAAAACATAAAACTTTAGTATATAACAACTCTAATTTCTCCACTAAGCATACTGTTTAACCTGATAGATGCCCACTTAATAGATTTTATGTTCTGTATTCCCAGTCGACCATTAAAAGTTCTCGATCCGAAATGCATTCCATTTCACCAATGAAGCTTTCAGTTTAACCAGTACAACTTGTTATTGATCCTATTGAAGGACCAATAGGCACTTGTATTCCGGACCAGAAAACATTCGTGTTGTTCCCATAGAAGTTTCTACTTGTCCCATAGAAGTTCCTGCTTGTCCCAGAGAAGTTCCTAATGGTACAAGAGAAGTCTGTATTGGTACGATATAACTTGTTATCGGCCCAGTAGAAATGCCCATCGGTACGATGAAATCCTATTGATCGCATAAAAATCTCTATCGGTCCCATAGAAAATGTTTGCAAGGGTGTGCTAATTTGGCGATTGAGCATTGTCACTGCCATACTGCACCGAGTTCACTTCTCTGCAGTGCATGGCTCTTTGCTATCTCCCGTACAATGGCTCTGCCACATAGCGCCACTGGCTGCAATGAGCGGTAATGAGCAAACTGAGTGTCGTGCACATTGACACAATTGGCATCATGGCGCTTGCCCCCTAAAGTTGACTTTCCCTCAACCGATTCTTTGGCCTTCCCCCGCGCTGCGGCTTCTCTGCAGCATTTCCAGTTGCACCAATGTGCAAAACATCGGATTTTCTCATCGGCGCCAATTGCACATTCATGCTCATAGGCTTTGGCTATGCATTTCAATTGGAACAGGCCTGCCATTTCCAGCAGGGTCTGCTCCTTGAGCAGGGGTAGCGGTGACGTCAGAACGCCGAGCTCTGAATGGCTCCGATTCGAAGGATAGGGGGTGAACCTCAAGACAGCTGGCATTGAGGTTTACCCACTATCCTTTCATCAGAGCCAATCGGAGCTTGGCGTTCTGACGTGAGTGCTATATGTCGTGGCTATGCAGTTTTCCTTGTATCATTTTCACGAATAAAACTTTAGTTGCGAGTACAGTTTCGTCCTGTTGTGTATGCTTCTTCACTTCGTCTTCACTGTTTAAGCAGCTTTCATCACGTACAAACATGCACTCGCATGCACTGAAGACTAAGACACAGTGCGAGATATTGTCACTGGAGCCACCTTATAATCTCGCGTTAGATAAAACTATGAAAAACGGTAGAAGCATGTTTTTCGAGATATGCCCATTTTTTCAAGACAGGAAAGAGATTGTGGACATTAAAAGGACACGTTGGGTTTATCAAGCTGCAAGAAAACACTTGACTAAACTTGCTATCGTTGCTTCTCGAGTTCAGCAGAGAATTACCGCACAAAAAGTCATTTGTTCTGCATATCTTAACCAATGGCAAAAAGGCAAGTACATTTGTGGGTTGACAGAAAAAAGCTTTTCAGAGTATAAACCTAAATTAATGCTTTTATTTAGACACTGAAAACTCGATGTACATCAGCTGCATGCCAGAAGAAAAAAAAAATTGAAGGAACAACTTGCAACTGTTGATGCACATCCAACACCGAAATACTTGATGCTACTTGGTAGAGAGCGTGCTACAAATAATGCTCCCTTTGAAACAAACTACATTATCGGCACTGCAGAGAGCACAGAAAGATCACCGCCTAAACATACATTTAATTTGTATATGCAAACACTCAGGTATATGGGCATATCAAAATACTTATATTAAAATATGCAAATAGCCGCAATGATTGTCGAGCTTTGGTATGTACTATTCCTCTACGGCTTCGATGCCCAAAGTCAGCTTCGATTCACACTTCATAAATATAGCTCAGACAAGCCTCACTGGGTTTGTTGATGGAATGGCAAGACACGCAAGTGCTCAGGCGATCTTGCGTTCAATTCAAAACATAAAGTACTAATGCTCAAAAGGACAAGAAAACAAGTAAGAAAATTTGATATCCCAAAATCTCGGACGGTGCCAGAATAGCTCCGTAAAACAAAAAAAGCTTTCACACAGTTAAAAATGAAACTAGCCAAGATGGTAATGCTCTTTTAGCATCTAGAAACTCGTCAAAATGATCTCTTCCAGATACCACCTCTATTGGATAGACCATTCACAGCTGTCCTCTTGGAATGCTTCGCCACATTTGCTGACATAACAAATCATACATCACTAATGCTACATTAGCGGCTAACTTATGCGAGCTAGTTAAACCCCATGTAACTTTTCCATAATCACTTGCAATTTGAGCAGCAGCCAACATGTTGATTGTCATTTTACTGGATACAACTACAAACTCTTCAACATCTTCATCTGTTGGGTATATACATATGTACATCTTCAAAAAGTATTGCACTGTCTATTGCAAAATGACCTACAACACTTACATGCTACTCAAAAGAGGCAAGTCAGCATATGCAAGAAGCACTGCACAGCATAGGCAGGACACAAACAAACACCTAGCCATACAGTTACTTGCACACACAAGGACAAACGGGGAAAACATGCTCTTCGTATATAGTACAATGATTGTCATTTCAGTTTCAACAGTAACGGCCTTCCACATTCAAAAGGTCGAGCTCCAACAGTATATGAAAATGTCTTCCCATTCACACAAACATTTAAATCAATACACTTCCATTGCACACAAGAGTGTGAACATAGCCTTGGATTGAAGAATGTAACGCAAACGCTCAAAAAATGTGCCGTAAAATCTGTGATGTCCCCAAACAAGCTGCAACAACTGCTTGAAAAACAGTACCAAAAGAACACCTCGAAAGTGGAAAAACAACCCAAACACAATTATACACACATTCACACACTGTAGAGGTTGGAAAAATCAGTGAAACAAGGACAGCACTTGCACCGAAATCCAAGGTACAAGCATGGCTGTGACAAGGTTTGAGATCAGGTTAACGGAATGATTGTCGAGTAGATTGATTCCGGAGACGTGCTTCACTCCCGGCCCTGGTTCTTCCACTATCCGTCCACTTGAAGCGTCCAACCCTGCACAAACAACCCAAGCAAGTCTCCAT